TGCCAGGGAAGCACTTATTCCACTGAGCCATCACCCCGGCCCCCCCATGTTTTTTTCTTTCTTTCTTTCTTTCTTTCTTTCTTTTTTTTTTTTTTTTTTTTTGGGTGGAACTAGGGAATTGAACTCAGGCCCTTGCACTTGCTAGGGGAGTGCTTATTCTACTGAGCCATCTCCCTGGCCCAAATTGAGAAGGGTTTTGTTTCTTTTTTTGTCCCCTCAGGATGCTTTAAGGGCAGGTCTCAAAAGTCATGAGGATCTGGGGATTGAATCACAGAATTCTGAGCCTGAGTCCTTTGCTTGAGCAGTCACTTAAACTACTGAGCTAACGGGCAGGCCCCTTGCCCCCAGGTTTTTAATATTTTATTTTATTTATTTATTTTTAGCGGTACTGTATGTACCAGGGATTGAACACTGGACCTTGCACTTGCCAGGTGGGCCCTTATGCCTCTGAGCCACCTTCTTGTTTCCTAATATTTTATTTTATATTGAGACAGGGTCTCATGTGCCCAGCATGGCCTCAGACTTTCAGTCCTTCTGCTTCAGCCTCCAGAAAAGTTGGGATTAAGGTTACTTACCACTACACCCAGCTTGGAAAAGCAATTTATATATGTTGTTAAGTGCCCATTAAGTGCCACTTCAATGCCAGGTGGTCTCTGGGAAGGTGGGGCTCGACAGTTCTGCAGGGGCCCCACCCACTGGGAGCTCCAGGAGGAAATGGGGCGCTGAGGCCCCCAGGAGCAGCATTTCTGAGTGCTGAAGGGGTTTTCTAGCCAGACATGGGGCAAAAGGCTGTCTTGTTAGATCAAAGCTGCTGAGCTTCCTGAAGAGAGTGAAGAATGAGATGAAAGAGGACAAGGGAGCCAGGTATGGTGTGAAAGCCTACAGTGCCAGCACTTGGGAGGCTGAGGCAGAAAGACTGCCTTGAGTTCAAGGTGAGCTTGGGCTACATAGACAGACTCTGTCACAAAAAGAAAGAAGGAAAGAAAGAAAGAAAGAAAGAAAGAAAGAAAGAAAGAAAGAAAGAAAGAACAATAAAAGAGATGCCTTATCCTTCCAGAGCCCAAGGATGGTCCACATGATTAAAGTGTATATCCTTTGTGTTCGGAGCAGTGGGGGCTTATTTGCTGTGACCTGTGGACCTTGGTTCACAGTATGACAGAGAGAGCTAGGTCAGGCGTCTCGAGTTCAGGCCTTGGCTCTCACTTGCTATGTGATATTCCCTACCTTTAAAGTGCCCGCATTTCTGGGGATAGTGGCTCATGCCTGTAATCTAGGCAGGCGTGGGGAAGGGACCCACCCGCACAGTAGATGGAAAGGCCTGGCTGCTGCCTGACCCTCGGTGTCCCCCCCACCCCCCGGGCACAGCGAGCTGCCTGCAGCAGTGGGGGCAGTTCCTCCTCTGCACGCTGCCTCCTTTCCGGGCCCTGGCTCACTGCGAACATGCTTACTTCAGGACCACGGCCTGGGGGATTCGACTCTGCCTCACCCGTGCTGCACCCATGCACTGAACTTGGCTTGGGCAGCCCACAGCCATGTGGCCTGCTCTTGTGTTTAGTGTGTAACCAGGAGCCTCCAGAGGGGCAGCCATTGTGCCCCAGCCTGGCTCTCCACCACAGTTGGCTCTGGCTTCCCTTGGCCCACGTTCTGAGCTCCTGCCTGAGCTTCACTTTCAGTTAGGACCTTGTTTCCTACTCATCACCGCTGACAAAATGCAAGCACCCAAAAGAGAAAGTCCCCCCACTGCCACCCTACCCTGGC